TTTTCATGGCTTTGGCATTAAACAGCAGAATGGGAAGATGTCAGCGCGCACAAAATCCATTCCCTTCATGTACAAATGACAGCAAGACACAACAGTTGCACCCACAGCGCGTACCGTCAGGCGTCGGCCACATGAGAAAGAGCACGCACCTTCCAAAGCCTTGCAAAAAGATCCATTTCTTCAGTACATTTTTAGCCCCTAACGCAATAATTGACAAAAATGCCATTTCACTTTGAAAGAGGACAAAAAATCAGTGTTTATATTAAAGATAAAGGTTTGATTGCTTTTTATTAATTTAGCCTTTTTTTGCTGCGAGACTGGTTTCCATGGAAATGCAAGCAGACCAAAAACCTGCAGCCACCAGTGAGTCAGTTTTGCCTGTTTATGTCTCCTCGGTTCCTATGGAAACAGACATTAAAAAAATAATAAGAAAAAGGATAAGGGTCCTGAAATACCTTCAGAAAAATCTTTTCCCAGAGCTTTATCTGTTTGGCTGCCTCTCCAGAATTAGAGTTGAAAATAACACGGAGCAACAGATGACGGAGTAATGGCTTGATTTCCTTATGGAGACACCAACAGAGCATACCTGGAGATGTTTCAAAAGCCTTGTTCAAACTGACAAGCTCGAAATCTACAGCTACAAATTGTATTAACGTACGTTTTGGCAAAAGTACCTAGAGTATATATATCTTTAAATTAATTCAGTGCTAATGGAGATAGAAATACAACAAAGAACAGGAAAACAGTGTCACTTTGTCCCAGTCTCGAGTGTATTTCAATACTTTGAGAGGGAAGAAAAAAACTGGATAGTTCCTTCCTTACAACACATTCATTTTTAAGTAGCAAAATCAGCTATACACGTACTAGGCTGAGTAAGAAACATCAGCATTAAATTTTAACATGACTACATTTCTGTCCATTACTTACAGGTAAAAATGCACTCCTCCAAGCTGATAAAGCAAATCTAAGAGGCACTGCCAGCAAGTCTCCATCTCCCATAGCACTTGTCAAAGATAATGGGGCAACTTCTCATGCGCTGTCTTCACGCTCATACAGATAACGTCCTCCTTACTCCTCAGAGCCAAATGCACCAGGGAAGGTGGAAGGAATAGGATGGGGAGTTGTTAGGAGAGGCTGCAGTGCAGGTCTCAGACCTCCAAAACCTGCTCCTATCACTGCCATTACCATGGAAGAATTCCCTGACAGCTCCGTGTCCAGAAACACAACACGCAGAGTTATGATTACCTGCTGCGACAGGTAATCTACAGCTAGAAAGCACAGGACGGCTAAACCTGATACCAAAGTCCTTATTTCTTTATCTCCCACATCACATTATCAGTTCTACGTGCTTAACACACCTCCTTGCAACTCCACGCTCTTCATCAGAGGGCTGCAGCAACCATCATCATTGCCTGTCTAGGAACGTGCATGGATGGTGTACATCTCTTACCACTACTGTCAGAGACTGAAGCTGCATGACAGAAATCAGGCAAAGAAAAAGGAAAAGGGAACCTTACCTCTGTCCTAAACAGTGCTCATCTGCTCCCAACGAACACCAGGCCCTCCTGCATTCTCACACCACTTTTTTTGCACTTGGCTACTGCCCTAAGATCTAGTCCTGAATTGCCACCGACACTAAACAAGGCTGGGGAAGAGCAGTGAGACACAACACTCACTGAAAGGATGAGAGGGGCAGCAGTCACTGCAGGTTTATCTTGAATGGAAGAAGCAGTTGAACCTAATTCAACATTAATTAGTTCCTATCAGTTGAATTCAATCTGTTCTTGTCACAGGAAAGATAAGCCTTAGAGAATTAATTCTTTCCTATTCTCCTTTGTATTTTGGCAAGGTGTAGTCACATAGTAACAAGAACAATCACTGAGGCATCACTCGAGGAGGGTAGATCTAAAGTTAAATGGTGAGAGAAACACTGATGTGTATCTTTCAGTCTATTCAGATGTTTTGCCTCCTTTCCTGGAGGTGTCAGAAGTACAAATAAACAAATTACTTTAACTATTCATCTACTTTAGCAGCTAAATATACAAACATCGAAGTTGCAGTATGACTAAATTCCTTGCAGTTACCATTCACGTTCACCCACAACAACAACAGACACAGGCATTTTCCGAAGCATTAAGTGAACAAACCACACGAGCTGCAAGTAGCCGTATCAAGCAGCGTTCACCACACTCCATGGCAAATGTGTTTGTGTCTGATATTAAACACGGGTGTCAAAAGCTAACTAAAATCAGCCTCTGAAGAGATTGCAAGGGTGTTGGATGTCAAGATCAGCTTAGTTTTGTGCCTCCTCTATCACAAAGAAGGGAACAGAGAAAAGAGGAACGTCACTACTGAAGTGAAGGTGTCACTATTACACGTAATAAAGACATCGGTATGAAAAGATAGGATAATTTAATAAGAAGATAACGTATACACAAAATCAATACATTCTTAGATTATTAAGCAGCCCAAAATGTACACAGCTAACTCAGTTTTGCCCTTGGGGACATCAGCACGGCCGTACCAATCCTAAGGAAACTCACAAGGTCACACTCCTCATTGTAATTCAGGAAATAAAGCCATGAACAGCTATCAAGCACCACCTGTGCTGCGCACTGAACTAAGCAAGGCTCCCTTCAGAAAGCAGCAAGTATAATTGCACCATTATTCATTGTATCGTATTTCACCTGCTCAAGGAAGCCCAATCATGGTTAAATGAGCAACTTCAATTCTGTCATTTGTTAACTTCCAAATGCTTATTTGGAGAAGCTTAACCTGAACTCTTCCTATCAAGTTTCCTAATACAGGCTTTTAGCTTTGTATTTCAAACCTGCGTAAGTCCCCGGTGAGTAAAACTACATGACAAATAACACGTTTGATGCATACAAAACTCAGGATCAACTGAAAACTGGCACCACCTTAACTGTTCTCAGAAGGAATCACATACAATTTTGCTCTCTTACACTGGACTGCTGTTTGCACTAATATTTCAAGGAGCTTCATCCAATATTCCAAGCTTCATCTTACAGTTTAAGACACAATCCATAAACGTGTCTAGAAGAAAAGGAACAGCCTACGTCAATTATCACAACTGGTAAAGACCAACAAGCTAAACCTACAAACCAACACCATTGCTTTGCAGACGTTGAAGAAGCTTAAAGCGAGCACGGCAACTTCCAAGAAGAAACGATGAACACATTTTACACCAAAGACTAGGAAAAAGTAGACACATATCCAACAAAAAGGCTGTGTTCCTGTCAGAACATCCCGAGTACCCGAAAGCAGTCAGTTTGCTCACCAGAAATTGCTCTAATTAAGCTGCAACTTAAAGCCATCTTTTCAGGTGAAAGTGTCCCATTTACAGACATCCAGGACGTTAGCGTACAGAGCTGCAACACTGCATCGCAAGGTACAAAACCCCCCAGGGACTGACACGGTGTAAAACAACAAATGGCACACAAAAGTAAAGGAGCAAAATCAAAAGAGAGGAAACCTGAACAAATTCACAGCCCGCCCCAGCACTGTGGTATACGGCGCACAAACACAAAGCTTCTCCTCCACGTTAAACTCAGTTCACACACAAGTTGTGGCCTGGAGGGTTTCTTTGCAGGCCTTGGGAAGCCCCAACACAATTTCTGGCGGTGTGAAAGGAGCAAAGGATAGTAGGTGGTATAAGTTCATAGCAGATCATCGCGTGGTAGCAGATACAGCAGACCTGTTCCTTTAACTGCATCCTGTACCTATTTTCATGCAAGGATTTTCCATACCTCACTGACAAAAGCGCTAGTTTTCAAAAGGTCAGTCAAGATTTTTGATGCCCTCTCTGAAGCACAGACCTGAAGAAACAATCCCTGCTCAGAAAACCACTATGCGTTTACAAATTCAGTCTTCCAATACCTGTTCTAGTACAAGACACCTCAGCAGTCCTGTCACAATCACTGCTTCAGTGCAAATGTCACGTCCAAGCCATCATCTGTCATCACGCAAAACTTCTCAGAGCACGGAACAACAGATACAGAGCAAACAGAGGTATAAAAACATGAAGTTTAATAGCACTGCAGTAGAAACCTCCAGCAGCATGCACAGAAGTGCAATACATTGAAGATGGAATTTGACTGACAGCTTTTTGTCGGACACAAAAAACAACCCTTCTGGATCAGTGTTGCTCAGCCGCTGATCCAGGGAGCAACTGTGAGACATCCCAAACAGCCCATGGAACAGCTGCAAAGAAGGCTGGCTTCTGTTTTGAGCGGGAGAGGGGGAGAGGAGGGTATTGTGCTCTCGGTTTGATATTTTCAATAAACAACTCTCACGTGCAAGCGAGAAAGCAATCAACACAAGCAAAAAATAAGAGCAGTAACTGAGCAATCAAAGCTCAGCCCCGTTTATATCTCAGTGCAACTAAAACCTCCTGTGGCATTACCGCACAGTACAATCCTCAGATTGTATTCAATGAGGTCAGATGTCTCTTTGGACTTAAAAGGCTGAGAGACGGCCCTTTAGATGACAGATAGTTGGCAGATAATAACATGGAAGATAAATGGAAGATGAGGGTTTCTGAAGGACAAAGTAAGATGATGAGATAACCTGCATATATGATTATAGAAGGAAATAAAAATCTACCAGAGGAGAAAAAAAACCCCTTGTCTTAGATATTTTAATTTGTACCAAAAAAACTCAGGGAACAAAAGCCTCAGCACACAAACTATTTTGACAATTAGGAATCATAAACTAACACAGAATGTCCTAAGAACTAAAGTCTCTAATACTAGATTTATAGAGCGTGAACTTGCTTTTGTACCCGGTAACAAAAGTAAAGCCATAAAGAGCATTAGGTAATCACAAATTCAACCCCTTAAGTATACGAAAAGCTCCAGCATTTGATCGGACTTGATCACATCCCTCTTACACTGCTAAATCAGAACAACCTCAGTACTAGTGCAACTATTTGACAGACATCTTAGGGAGCCCAGAAGCAGCTACACGGTGCTCACACTTACTTGAATCCTCCCATCTGAGAAGGTGCAACTTCCACGCAGAATAGTACAGAAATCCCAGTACCAGGAAGAGGCAGAGGGCTAGCAGCAGGTTACGCATAAACACCAACAGTCCCATCTTCACATTAAATCTGACCTCCTACATGACCTGAGAAAGAAAAACAGGTTGAGGTCAGAGCCACCTTCTCAGTCATCTTTCCAAAACATGCAATCCTATACCCACATTAACACACAGATCCAAAACCGTCCCCTGCATAAGGCAAAACACCCCAGGCACCCAAACCACATCACTGAAATACGAACTACCGTCCCGAGCAGCTGCCCTTTTTTGAGTCACAAGGGTAAACGCCGTTCTGGAGAGGCGGGAGGACACCGCAGCGCCGTGACAGGGCAGCGCCCAGCTCCCCGTGTGCGCTCCCGCCCCAGCCCGCTTCACACGACCGGTCCCAGAACCCCC